CATCATTTATATATTTATTGTTTAATTTTTATATTAAAAAATTAATTGATTTAGATTAATACCGTATTAAATTCACACTAACCTTTTCAGTTAAAAAATTTTTGAACTAAAAATATAACCGAACATCATTCAACCTCGATTTAGATCATACTTACAGATCATCCATAACATCGAGTGATTAATATTTATATATATTAAAAATAAAGAGAATAAAAAATTACTATAAAGATCGACTTAAATATTAAAAATAATATATGACTAATTTAGTACTTAGGCCCAAATAATTTTGTTTGCTAAATGTAGCACATATAGAAATGTAATAGCTCATTACAAATGTTTAATTGGATGATACTAAAGGTTGAACCAAAAACATAATAGGTTATAAATTATTATCTTAGTCTTATTTGTTAGGATTGTTCAAAGATATATACAACATATGTATATATTAATTAAATTTATATATTATTACACAATAATATTAAGTTTTAAGAATTGATATTCTACTTTGATGACTTAATCTATTAAAATTATTATTATTATTTTATATTTTTATGATAAAAATCACTAATATCATAGTAAATAAAAGGCTAAAAGTACAAAATTTATAGTTTAACATACTGATATTGTAGAGAAAGCATGGTAAGAATTGTGAGCAAATAAAAGATTCTGGATGCACATTGTTGCAGATAATCATACCTCAATGACTCATCATCTCAACAGCAACAGCTTATCAGTTTTCATTCACCAATCGTGGTTGTCGGTACACAAATGATGAACATGCATCATATAAGAAATTTGTTATAACAAATTTTGTAATATTTTTGTTTTTTTTTCCTCTCATAACACGAATATCTATTTTATTTATACATATGTAATTTATTCTACAGTATAATGTAATATCTGGTTTTAGAATTTATTTCGGGATTAATTTTAAAATTTAAAAAATATATAAATATATAAATTTAAAATTAATAAATTTTTATTTAATATGAAATTAGAGAAAAAAAAATAGGTTGAGGATGAAATTGAAAACAATTTTGAGAAAAAAGGTTGAAAATTTGGGTTCAGATGATGTAAGGGGAAAAGAACAGAGGAAGAAGGGGAGCGGGAAAGAGAAAGAGGAGAGGAAGGAAGGTTCTAAAAGGAGAGAGAAAGGAAGCGGAGCGGAGAGAAGAGGAGATCGCGAACGGTGATAGCACATTCGGCCGAAAGAAGGAAGATGGAAATGGGAGGTACGGTAACAAACTTCAAATATGTGTGTTGATTTGAGTTTGAAATGTTTGGATGTGTGGCGTACGTGGTCACGGCTTACGGAAGTAGCGGTGTACGGAGGAGGCCGTGTAGGG